AAAAAAAAAAAAAAAAACTAACTCGGTTTTCCAATATTCAGATTCCCAATTTCTGAGAGAAAATGTGGTGGGCTCCACTTAAATCAGGCAGATGCTTCTTATACAGTCCATTCTACCTGAAGGACTGGAGCGTGGGGCTTGTGCTTTGAGGTCAGGATATCTGGAGTTTTTTCTTCCGGGTTTATGGAAGGGGAGCTTCTCTGAGACTGTGAGTGCCAGGAAGAAGCGATTGGTAGAAAAGGGGTGGCATCTTTAGAATAATATCTGTTCTCTCTGTGACCTTAGGTGGGCCACTTAGCCTCAGTGAGTCTCAGTTTTCTCATCTTTAAAGTGAACACATAAGGAAGCCAGGTATGCCTGTAGTCCCAGTACTCAGGAGGCTGAGGCAGGAGGATCACTTGAGTTTGAGCCAGGAGTTCAAGGCTGCAGAGTGCTAGATCGCACCTGTGAATAGCTAGCTACTGCACTCCAGCCTAGCCAACATAGCGAGACCCCATCTCTAAAAAAATGTTTTTTTAATTAAAAGAAAGTGAAATGATAATCTCTCTCTCACCAGTTACTGTGACAATCAGATAAGACTGTCATAGAATTTTTTCTAGATTAGTAAGCTTTGTACCAGGGTTAGAAACCAAGTAATTATTTAAACTACGTTATAAACGGGTTTTTGTGAATTAACAGGATCTATTTTGGAAGTAATACTTTTGAAGTATTATACTCAATGCTATAATAATTGTAATACATATAAAAAATTATCTCAATTAAAAACAGATTCAAATGGTATAACTACACAACAAATTTTTAATGGGTTTGGATTAAAGTTTAGTATCACAAAATGTGTACCTTGACTTAAAGCATAAAATTAGATACAGATTTTCAAAGCAACAGAGTTGTTTGAGTGCCTATTATATGATAGGCCCTGTAGGGGGCAAAGAAAGATGCAAGGAAGCATTCGTCTCTTTGTCCTAGGGGAGCTTATGTCAGATTGAGAACACTGTATGCCAGAAGAAAATGATGAAAGTAG